ATTCTACAGAAGGAGGCGCTCATGCACAGAGGTCTCGAGTATGTTTTCCACAGTTCCACAGCTACTCAGCACCATCACCAGGGTATGACCAGGGTATGACTTAGATCCAAGTATGAAACGTTTTAGGGGGAAACTAGAGAGAATGAGAGAAAGAGAGAGTGACAGAGAGAGAGAGAGGGAGAGAGAGAGAGGGAGAGAGAGGAATCTACACATATGCCCATGAACACCTAACGAAAGGAAATTTTTTAAAAACGTTGGACGTTATTATGCTGGGTTTTAATTTTGCATATGAGAAGGATGTGGATATTAATGGAACTTTCTTCATATTACAATAGATTTTTTATTTGGTCTACATACTCATATAGCACATAATGACATTTTGATCTCTCATAGATTACATGTGTGACAATGACCCCATAAGTTACACTGCGCCGGCAAATCTCTATTACTCATTGACGTAGTGGATATTACGTCATACTGCAATGTGTCACTCAAGTGTTGGTGGTGATGCTGGTATAAACCAGCCTACGAAAGGATAACATTTACAACTATGTATTTGAGATTGAAGATAGATGTGTTACTGACATTAGAGGAAGGAAACAGGGTTGTTTGCATCTGTCCCTGAAGGAAAAAAAAAGAGACTCTTAAGTCTCTATTGTAGGAGGTTTGATGATATAAAGGGCACTTATGGGAGCAACACAAAGAGAGTGCAGAAAGGCAGTGACAGAGAGTCCGTTACTGAGCAAGGTCCTGAACAGTCACAGGTGTATCTTTCCTGCTCTCACAATGGATTTGGCTCACTTACAGATCATTTACTGGAATCTGAAAAAGGGCTTTCTCCAGCAACAAGAATTAAAAGAAGAAAAACCTAAGGATAGCAGGGGAGCAAGGGACAGTTTCAAATGAACCCTGTTACAGTTTCCCTAATTGTTTTGTCCCTCCCTCACTATGGAGGGACTTAGGGCACTGTGTAATCTGACTGGCCATCTGTTGCTGGATTGGTGTGTAGACTCCACAAAGGACACCTGAAGCACAGCTCCAGAAACTATATACCTGTGCCCAGAACACCATTAGATCAAAAGGGCCAAAAAATGAAAGACATCCAACATTGCCACCTAGTGGAAGGAGGTGCATAATTGCCCTCACTCCATGACCTTGGCTCTACTTGCTTTTTGGAGCGAGCTGAAATAAATGATTTTGATTTTGACCTTGATATTTTCCCCCTCTGCTCTCTGCATAAACTTTGTCTGGAAATTAATCCAAAGGACCTCCCCTGATCCCCCATACTGGGATAGGCACATCTGGGTGACCAGATGTTGATAGATGACAGGGAACACTGATAGACTAGTATTTTTTTTTAATCCCCCTTTAGATAAATTTGAGCACCAGAAGAGATTTTAAAAGAATGTCTCTACTTGGGCACCCGTGGCTCACGCCTGTAATCCTAGCTACTCAGGAGGCTGAGATCTGATGATCACAGTTCGAAGCCAGCCCAGGCAGGAAAGGCTATGAGACCCCAATTAACCACCAAAAAGCCAGAAATGGAGCAGTAACTCAAATGGTAGAGCATTAGTCTTGAGCAAGGAATGCTCAGGGAACAGGGCCCAGGCTCTGAGTTCAAGCTCAGGACTGGCATCAAAAAAGAAATTAAAAAGCCAAGTTTACATGCACTCTACTATTAAACTGATAACTATCATCTTAGAACAGAAGTTGTTTTCGTGCAACTTTTCGCAGACTCTAATTACATGGTGGCGTCAGCATCTGGCTATATATCCCTGAGAGGGAGACAGGATGGAAAAAGCTGGAAAATTGGATTTGCCAGCACATTTTGAGATCCTCACTTGGTTTATGGATATTCTGTTTACCAGCTAAGTGTGATCTGTTCAGAGTCTTCACAAAGGGGCTCACTACCTCATGGGAATCCCCTCAGATCTGTAAATTCTTCCTTACATCTAGCCTAGTGAAGGCTCCCACAAAATTCAGTGTCTGGATTCTATCACACAGAGAGCAACCTTTCAAATGCAGTATTGAGGTTATAATTTCTTTTTTTTTAATTCAACTTTATTTCAGTGTAATTTATGTATGTATTGTACAAATTTTAGTGTGTGAGTCTCTGAGCTCTTCATCATTTGATTATGGTTAAGAATATCATAAAATAACATTACTATCATATCCATTTGAAACATATTCTTTTTAGTAGTATTAAGAACATTCCTATTGCCAGGCGCTGGTGGCTCACGCTTCTAATCCTAGCTATTCAGCTGGCTGAGCTCTGAGGATGGCAGTTCAAAGCCAACCCAGGCAGGCAAGGCCATAAAACTCTTATCTCCAACTAATCACCAAAAAGCCAGAAGTGGAGCTGGGGCTCAAGTGGTAGAGCACCAACCTTAAGTGAAAAAGCCAAGGGTTGGTGCCTTGGCCCTGAATTCAAGTCCCAGTCAACACACACACACACACACACACACACACACACACACACACACACACACACGCACACACACACTGAGATCTATAATGGAAAATTTTATTGGCCTCCTTTTCTCTCCTACCCAGAGTCTCTGCTGCTTCTTTGTGCATGGCTCCATGCTCTTATTTGTTAAGTTACTCCATTTTTATTTTGTTTTGCTTTGTCACAGAAGTTTAAACTCAGGGCCTTGTGCTTGCCAGGCAGGTGCTCTACTACTTGAGCCATATCCCCAGTCTTGTTTGCTTTTATTTTTCCAAATAGAATCTCACATTCTTACCCAGACTCCCAGCTGGGATTACAGACATGTATCACCACACCCAGCCCTAAGAGTTACTTTTTAGAGGGCCAAAGTAAGCATTAAAAAGATGATAGTCCCTTGATATTCTGCAAGATACTGCATGATATAAGTGCTAGGTTTTACTCTACATTTAGTTGTGTATGTGTATGTGTGTGTGTATGTGTGTGTGTGTGTGTGTGTGTGTGTGCCTACAGATCAAAGGCAAAGCTTCACAAATGCTAGGCAAGCACTCTTCCACTCATACACACTCCCAGCACTATGCAAAGTTCTTCATTTAGTTGCTTTGCCTATTAATCTTCTTTAGAAAGTAAATGTATACCAGTTAGCTCTTGAAGTTAGTAACTTTCTTTCCAGCACCTCAATTCACTATTTTAAAAAAGATTTTTTATTATTTTTATATTAAAAAAGATTTTTAATTAAAATATAAATTGATATTGTATTTTTTATTCAAAATGAGTCCTTATGCTTTAACTTGTTTTAAAATCTGAAGATATGACCACCCATCTTTAATCATTGTTCTTTGGAAATGGCAATCACATGTTTCTTTGAGATACTGACTTCATTCTTTAGAGAATTATTATTATTATTTTTTGGGTCCAGTCGTGGGGCCTGAACTCTGGGCCTGGGACTGTCCCTCAGCTCTTCAGCTCAAGGCTAGTGCTCTACCACTTGAGCCACAGCGCCACTTCCAGCTTTTTTCTTTTTTCTTATGTGGTGCTGAGGAATCGAACCCAGGGCCTCATGCATGCAAGGCAAGTGCTCTACCACTGAGCCACCTTCCCAGCCCCAAGAGAATTATTTTTTTAATTACGATTTTCAACATCTTTCTGTGGAGTGACACACAAAGTTATCAGCAGAAAAAAAATGCTTATCACTTTCAAACATTTAGAGCAACTGTGAGACACCTAGTAAGAGGCCAAGTATGGGAAGATCTAGGCTGCATTAGCATTTAGGGTAGGCTGCCTGTCTTACTGGACCACAGTAACACGTGCATTTCAGATGTGAATTTGGTATACATTCAGAATCAGATTTGTTTGTCCACCTCAAGGTAAAAAAGGCAACTTGGAGAGGCTGAGTGAAGGGGTAAAATTATCCAAAAAGCAATGTATGTGACTTAGATAATGGTAAAACCTCTGTGCATCACCTTTATAATAATAATAATAATTGTCATCATCATCATGTTTTTAAAGGCAAAATAGAAAACTACTGACCTCTATTCTCTTCTGCAAGTTTTATAATCTTCATTTTTATTTTTATGCTTGCAATAAATTTAATATATGAGGGTGAGATACAAAGGGTTATTTTCAAAGATGTCTAGTCTACCCTTTGATATAAACATATTACTTAAGTACATGAAAAGAAATGACAATGGTGGAATGTAAAAAACCCAGTCTCCTCTCTGACCTTGTGCCGTTCAATTTTCTTTCATCTCTGTGCTATAGGAACTATATTCTTTCTTTTGTGCTACTCGCTTTTATTCTTTTTTCTCTCTCACACCACTTCCTCTGGGACATTATTTTTTGGCTCACGTTTCCTTTCTTCACTTTTCTCTTGCATGAAAATATTTTCTCCATGACAGCAGGTAGCGTGTGTGAGACCCTTGATACAGCTGATAAGATCTTCAGGCTTCCTTAACCCAGTGCTACCACAATGATTTTTTAAAAATTCAGGTAGACAAAAGGCCATCATATTTAAGACTGTATATTCCATGAAGTACTTCTGACCATAATCTCATTGTTGCTCCAAGTAAGAATAACCTCTGGAAGGCTGAGAAGTAAAGTCATGACCCTTAGATAACCCGAAACAGCCATTGAGATGTAGGGGAAGGTGGTCATGGTTACAAGAAATTAGAAAACTACCAGGGAACTCACATCTTCTGCATTCAGGCAAGTATATGGTGTTATCATGTTTGTTTGTCATTCTTCAGCCTCAGCAATGCCTACAACCAATCACTATGAGCCACATATGGCTGGAATACACATTCTTTCCAAGCTCGTGGTGTGGATAGCTGTGATTGGAATCACCTTTGTCTCCTTGCAAAATGGTCATTGACACTAAGCTAGAAAGCATCTCAAGAGATCCTAATTAAAACTTCCCGCAGAGGAAGGCACTAAAACCAATGAGATATTCTGAGAGCTGCTGGTTTTCTAGTAACCAGTTGCCCTCAAAGAGTAGGATGGGTTTCAGGCAAGGAAAGCTATGACAGAAAATGTTACTGCTTTCCTCTGTCTCCTCTTATCCGGAGTCTCTGTCTCTCCCCAATACCTTCCACAGAGCCCCTTTCACATCCTTGTTCCTCAGGGTATAAATCAGAGGATTGAGCATAGGGGTGATTATAGTATAAAAAAGGGCAACAAACTTCCCCTTGTTTTCAGAATACTTGTGGATGGGTTGGAGGTAGGTGTAAATACCTGAGCCATAAAACAGAGAAACCACCACAAGGTGGGACCCACAAGTTCCAAAGGCCTTTCTGCGCCCAGCCACTGACTTGATTTTCAACACAACCCTGGCAATCTGTGCATAGGAGCCTAGGATCAGAGCTGCAGGAAAGACCAAGATGATGGTCCTAGCCACAAACATCTTGGCCTCTGTCCCTCCTGTGTCCTCACAAGCCAACTTCAGGAACATAGGCATCTCACAGAAGTAGTGATTCAGTTGATGGCCACAGATAGGCATGGCCATTGCGAGGCTGGTCTGAATCATAGAATTCACAAGGCCTACCACCCAGGAAGCAATAGCTAGTGATTGGCAGAGAACGGGGTGCATGATGGTCGTGTAGTGGAGTGGACGGCACACGGCAGCGTAGCGGTCAAAGGCCATGGCCGCCAGGAGCACACACTCTGTGGAGACCAGAGAAAGGAAAATGTAGAGTTGGGCCACACACCGTGCAAAGGTGATGGTCCTGTCAAATCCATGGAGGTTGATGAGAAGCTGGGGCACAGTGCTGGTGGTGTAGCAGAGGTCCAGGAAGGAGAGGTGGGAGAGGAAGAAGTACATGGGTGTGCGCAGCCGAAGGTCCAGTCGGGAGAGGGCAATGATGGCGGTGTTGCCAAAGAGAGTCAGGGAGTAGGAAATTGAAATAGAGATGAAAAGGATGAGCTCTAGGTGAGGCCAATCTGAGAAGCCCACCAGAAGGAAGGCATCACCCCAACTGTTGTTGAAATTTTCCATAGCCTTTCACCTGCACAGCTAGAAGACAATTCTGTGCTTCCTACAAAGAATAGGGGTTGAAGCACTATTCTAAATAGCCAATAAATGTCCTCAAATCAGAGGTTTTATTTTCTATTCTTCTATTCAGTTATGTGTGTCCCATCTTCCCCTTCTCTTCTTATACTGGTGATCACTAGATTAGCATGTCATCTCTGGTGAATCTCTAGTTCTGTCGCCTATTTGTTACCTGATTTTATCAGTCTGTTCTTTGGATCCAGTGCTTTCTTTCCCCCAGAAATACCATGTATTGCCTCCCATATGATACTGAGATCCAAAATTAGTGATGTGGAAACTGCTTTTCAGAAGCTAAGTGTGGAATTTGGGTGCTGCTAAGCAGTTGAACATCTGTCTAGTGTGTGTAAGCTCCTGAGTTCAGTCCCTAGAACTACAAAAAAAAAACTCTGTAAAGGAATAAGGAAACAAAATCTAATATGCGAATGCAGTGTTAGTATTTCTATAGGTCACTTTTGCTCCTCTTTTTGGTCTTCTGTGTGGATTGTTTGGAGCAAATTGAGACTCAGGAATAGCCAGGCTGAGATATCAAGCTCAGTGAATATGGTGGTTGTACCAGTCCTGAAAGTGCAACAGCTCCCACCTGTTGCAAAAGCCTGGGTGTAACTTCTTCACTTTAGGGGGAAAATAATTAGCAACCAGTGTACTCCTTATCAGGAGTCATTATGGCTGGAATATCTTCCACCATTTTTCTAACTAAAAGAAAAAAAAATCATCCCTGAGCTTTTCAAGTAGTATTGTTTCCCCTTTCCTAGCCAAAATTTTATCTTTAGTTTCAAACATTTGTAACACACTGAATATCTTTTCTGTGTCTTTTTCCTTTTCCAAGCTGTGAGCTTGGAGCTAGCGAAAACACTGGGCTTTAAAATAGTAGCATCTTCCCTTATGATACTAAAGTCATGTTAAATAACTTTCCTTGGATGAAACATTTGTTAACTTTCTTCAAGTCTCCTGAAAAATCTCCATTTTCAAGGAAACCCAAGAATCAACCACTTGAATAAACTATGGCACTGGGTATGCATACAATGTTGCTTTCCTCTAAAGGTTGCTATTTCCTGGGGTAAAAGAAAATCTAAGTAGGTTGTATGAAAGTTCAACACAAAGCAAGCCAAGAATCTCGTAAACTACAGCCATTTCATCTCTGCTCTGCATGACCTGTTTTGTCAAATGAATACACTGGTCTTTTTTAGTAAGTCTGCTGTACTGCAAGATCTTCACCAGTGTTTCAATACTGAATCAGTGGTTCCAGGAAGGTATTTAGCTGCCATATTTTGTACCCCTGCGGAAAAGATGGATACAATGTGAGTTTTAAAGGCAAAATGTTGTTATGCATTTAGCTGAACCTGAACCACTAAGGAGGGTTATTGAATGACTACTTTAGTGTATATAGCCCACCAGTTGGTGAAATCCGTGGTCAGATTCTGACATATCTGTAACATTCCTCAGGTCTTTCTGTTCAAAAGACTCACCTCCACAAGTCTCAGATCACTTCATTATAAAATGAAAAAAAATATTTCACAAGATTTTGGTGGAGATTAAATTCTCTGACATTCTGAGGTGATCATGAATGCATACACTTCTAGCCCCTCTCTGTCTATTTTAGCTGTTTTTTAAGTGCCATCCAACTTGGGCTGACTAATTTTGTCAGTATTGTATTCCCACTGTCAGTGAAATGCCTGGAGAATGAAAGGCTCTGAAGAGACATTACCGAATGAATGAATGAATGCATGCATGCATTCCCCATTCTGACACCATAGTTGGTGCACGCAAGTGCCTCAGAAATTATTTGTTTTCTTGCAAAAAAAAACAAACCACAACACTGTTTCACATTTCATAGCACAAGGATTTTAACCATCCCTGCTCTCATCAGGACATATGGATTAGAGGGTGGGAGGCCCCCAGGGAGCACTCAGAGCAAATGCCAGCCTCTTTCTACTGACAGCCCTACAGATGGTGAGGAAAATAACCATGGTATGCAAACTTAGCTGCATTCCATATTCCTCGATTGGTGACAGCTTTCGAAATTGCTATTTCTATTCATGACAGCCAACTATTTCATACCAGTGTATGGAATGTTGTTGTTGGGCTGATGTAACTGATTCCCAGTGAGTCACATTTTCATTCCAGCCATCATTGGATGTTCACAGAATATCCTTCTAAAATGTCACATCTAAAGGGAAGAGTCAGATCAGGTCATCTGCTTTGATCAGATAGGATTTTGATATTGCCCAAGAGGTTGGCAGAAAACTTGCTTTAGAATCAATGGGCAATAAAATCAGTAAAGTTCCTACATGAGAAACTTGTGTTTCTAACTGAGTTTTTAGCCTAGGAAACGTTTGTAAAAAACAAGCGTAATAACTCCTATGCAGGCTTAAAGACTTGTCATATGGAAAAGATGCAGAACAAGTTTGGTTTGTTCTCAAAAGACCAAAACTTAGAACTTGTGAAACTTACAAGAGGATAGATTGTAGGTAAATAAAGAGTAAACTTGACAAAAGAGTAGGCAAATTGACTGCTGGGAAAGGAAGTTATAGTGCTGTAACTTCAAAGCTTCCTGTTCATTCAGAGACTGCAAGTTGATCTTTCAAGGTACTGTAAAAAATAACCTGCACTCACTAAATGATTGTGCGAGATCATTTGGGGCATCCTCCTCACCAACCCTGATCTTTTTCTAATCTAAAAATACTTTTTTTAAAAAGGTATTTCTACTCTTTTAATCTCCTTGACATAGATTAAGCATTTTGCCATTTACATATTTGTTTCTGTGCAACACAAAATTCAGCAATTACATGTGTTCAACTCATGTCTGAATGTGTGCATGTATCTGTGTCTATATATGATTACTACGAATAATACATTTCTTGATGAGAAATTAAGTCTAAAATGCTTTTCCAATAGCATTTTGTACTATCCCTTTCATGATTGCCCACAAATTTGTTGATATTGTCAGGTTATAAATGGCCAAAATCAAGCTGTACAGTTTTTTTTTACTTGTACAAGGTTTACTTGAACAGGAAGGTTCTAGAAATCTTTCCTAATTGCCCTCATTGTTAGATTATACATTTAACATTTTGAATCTATTTTCACTTCTTCCTAGTATTCTTGCATGTGTAGTTCTCTTACTATAAGTGTCTAAGACATTAACTTACTATGAAACCCAGCTAAAGACCTTGCAAAAATCTACCCATTTCCCATCACCATCTTCTTTAGATTTAATCATTTTCGGATCTAGACTGTATCCCATCCTATGCCCAAGCTTTTTGGATGAGCTTCAAGACTACTAAATGCCCCAAACATCATCAAAACATTTTTCTCTATAATACAAGATAAATAATTTTTAGTCCATTCAACTCAAATCCATTCAAAGACTAAATTAATAAATCATTCTTAAGTGGTTAAGCTCTTAATTCCCCTCACAGAACCTTGTTTTCATCTAGGATGGGCTCCTTCCTTTTGTCTAGGTCTTCTATTATTTACATTGAACAATTATGACCATTCTCATTCTTTTCTCCTGCATCTGATGTTTACAATTGACTTTACGTGTGAGCTCCCTGGAATTTTAGAAATTGTATTTTAGAAAGCATTTCAAAATGATTTTAGGTCAACACTCATATTTTATGTTAGAATATTTATTCCCCTAACTACATGCCATTGGGAGAGAGAGAGAGGCAAGTGGGAATACTTTAAACAAGTTCTATCTAATCAAATGGGCAAATAGGTGGATATCTGGGTGATAGAGAAAGATAATCAGTAATAAAACATGCTTTGTATAAACAACATTTTTGTGACCTCAAAACAGGGAATTAGTAGGAATACTTTTCCCCTGGTTTTTACTGTTGAATCTAGAGTAGCTAACTTTGTCAATACTCACTCAAGGCTCCAGCAGACAAAACAAATGCATTACCACTCTCAATTCTACTGGCTTGAAAGGAGATTTGTGACCCAGTAGAGAGAGTTGACATCTAGAAATGTTCACCATAGATTTGTCTCTCCTTGGACCCAGTTCCTTTAGTGTGAAGAAGCATGGATCAGATCTTCTGTCCTGGAAAAGTCATGACTATGTATTGTTGCTTTCTTCATCAGAGAGGCTGCTGAAGCTCATCACCTAAGGAGTGGTAACACACTCCCTGAACATCCCATGTTCACTCTAAGACTAGAATGGAGCTGATGTAGTATCAAAACATCTCTTGACCCTAAAACTTCATGCATCCCATATGCTCTGGGGACATTGCCAGAGAACTCCTGAATAACAATAAAGAAAATAATTGTTTACCAAGTGTAGCCCTGGAGACATGTGGGCCCCAAGGTGGGCAATTAGAACTAACTCACACACTCTCCAAGATCTGCCTCATAGGCCTCAGTTCTCTTGGTTACCCATGCTCTGCCAAACCACGGTTGCCTATTTGGGATTTCAGGATACACCCTCTTACTAATTACACTACTGTGTAGCCTGGGATTCCTCACACTTCCCTACTTGGACACTGATCACTTCCCACATGTCACCAATCAAACCTAATCCCATGTCTTACATGAAGTTTAGGAATGTCACTACATTTGAAATCTTTTCATGTTCTAGACTCAGGTAAACATTAAACTTGAAGAAAAGTTTGATGTTTTCTCTTTTTGTCACATGTAAGATTGTTCTGTACTTCTCATTTTTATCCTCTTTTTGTCCACAATGAACTAAAAAAGCCAACATTTTTGCCAATATAATCCGAATATTCTATTGGTAAATCAATACTGTTCAAAATACTGTGGGGAAAATCAATAATCAAAATAACTTGTAAGACATCATTATGTAATGTAGAGAATAATGTAGAGAAATAACTCTGCCCTTAGAAAATTTTCAGTCTTAAGATGCTTTGTTAGCGTGCTTGAGAACTGGTTTCTCCATCAGTAGATGATGTTAACACAGCCTCTCCTGTACCATTGTTTGTGGACTAATGACA